GTCTGTCTGTCTGTCTGTCTGTCTGTCTGTCTGTCTGTCTGTCTGTCTGTCTGTCCTCAGATTTAGGAGGTCATTTTAGAGATCATCTTTCTGTTAGTAAGCTCATGCATGCATCCATGTAATTTGTTCAAAGCTAGATCTACATTTTATTTTTCTTGTTTCTCTCCCGCCATCTTGGGTGAGGGGAGGAGGATAGAAAAGGGGAACGTGGGAGAGAGAGAGAGAGAGAGAGAGAGAGGGGGAGGGAGAGAAAGAGAGAGACAGAGAGAGACAGAGAGAGTGAGGGTACGCCCAGCAAGTTTTAGAAAAATGGTTAACTTATTTTTTAATTTCGTAAATCCATCAGAGACATGAAATTTGTTCAAGGTGTTTGATCTAGTTATATAGGACCCGGCGCCACGCCATGCACTCTATTGATCAGAACAGTCGCTCTCCATGAAAATCGATTTTAACGCGACCTTCAAAGTCAAAGCAAAGTTTCCTCTTTCCTTTTATGTGGCGCTGCTTCATTTTTTTTCGTTTGATGATGTAATTCGTGTAAATATATAGCAAAAACCTGCAGGGATATTGTACGGTCAACTTAACGACCATAGAGCTGCTGCCGAAGTTAATACATCTGGGTTTCGTAATTTGGATAATGTTTAGCTAGCTCATTCAGTCTTCTAAATTTGAATCAAAATTACGTACTAATTCTGTTTCAAATCAATGTTATCCATGAGTGAACATGACGTGTGCATCCACACATGAACACCCCCACCCACTCCCGTCCTGTCCCCAGCTCCCTCTTTTGCAAAGCATACGTATATACCCTCAATGGACCTCAACGAAAAATCACATAAAGAAGACGCGAAGCATTTTCTTTCTCCCTTTGTCTCTCTCACTCTCTGTCTCTCTCTTTCTTTCTGATTGAAGAGGAAGATAGGGAGGCAGAGGCCAGTACTGCCGTGGAGAAGATGATGGCTTTGGGAATACCAAAAAAAAAAGAGGAAAATATGGCATCCTTGCAGGAAAGAACACCCCCCCCCCCCCACACACACACAAACATACTCGTATACACATACAATGTTACATAGTGTGTTCTTCCAACTACAGGAACAGATTACGCACATAATTTTCTAAAGTCAGTATCAACAACAAGCATCTCTTCCCACCGCTATCTTTCAACGGAACTTCAACATTTTAACATAAAAAACATAGACCTTCTGAATAACAAAACAAAAATTGTACCGAAAAGTCACAACTCACAGCAAAACCTGAACCAGAACAACCTAGGAAGTGAAAGACAAGACAGCTATATTATTTTCCTTCTACCATTTCTACTGAAGTTTCCAAATAGGCAGGTGAAATTTATGCAGGTCTAAAATCGACCCAGTATAAAGCGTAATGCGATAAAAAATTAATGTCTTGCCTAGTACTTGTATGTCTTACGAGAGGAAGCCATTAGCCATAGCAGACAATAAAACCCCCCATTACATTTAAAGAAAATATCTAAACACCTATTAAACTTTCTCAGAAAACAGAAATGTTAGTTTTGGTACTTCTAAGTATTATGTTCATATACATGAAAATACCTTCAACTTATTAAAACATTATTTTGCAGTGAACGAAATTCTGATTCGGAAAACCGGGGTATAATGATGTAGCGGTTCAGCACTTCGCTGCCGTACAAAGAAGGCGTGAGTTCGATTCCCTTGCAGGGAGAGCTTTTATCGAGCATCTCAGAATGTCTGTTGGAACTCTGTGTCGCTCTCAGCTTCGGTTGGCTCTAGTAGGAAGGGTCGAAGCAGCCCGCCTCTTGTATGATCTAAATTGTGTCGAAGGGGATTTAGAATTACAACCTTTGTTTTCCACGTTTTGTTTAAGTAAGAATTTTACGGCACTTATAACAATACAATTAGGTCATATAAGTGTCGAAGATACGAGGTATTACAAGAGAGTAACAAACACAAAAAAGAAGGAGGAGATAAGGGCTATAGATATTAGATAGGAAAAAAGTAACAAACCACGCCAGAGCACCAGGCAACAACCCCCATATTTTTTACACGGAAATAAATGTTATTGGTTCTCGATTATCTCAGAAAATTAAATTATCGAACCATTTTGCTCAGGGCTGCCTAAAACTAGATACATTATTAATTTATCGTTGCCTTAATCGTTTGCCTCAACGGTCCTGCAGTGTATTTGTAGTTAATGACTACTGCCACAACCTCACCCACAGAGAGGGAGAGGAAGAGAAAGCGAGAGAGAGAGAGAGAGAGAGAGAGAGAGAGAGAGAGAGAGAGAAGATCATCACACGCGAGTCGAGTTAC